GCAAAAATTTCCTGTCATTTCACTTATGTCTAGTGAATCATTAGAGGAAGTGATTTGGAAATTTTCATCGACCTTGAAATGGTTTCATGGAGGGTATTTGCTCGGGAATCTGCGTGTCCACGAAAGCCCCATATTTTCTATTATTGAAAATTTTTAAAAATTTCTCGCGCAGCGATGCAGGAGAGTTCCATTCTGTCATTCCACTTATGTCTAGTGAATCATTAGAGGAAGTGATTCGGAAATTTTCATCGGCCTTGAAATGGTTTCAAACTGTGTATTTGTTCGAATACGGTCATGATGCACTGCCTTGAAAGTAAGGAAGGAGTCGCTTGTGTTGCAAGTGTCGTGTCGGAGTAACTGACTGTGCAGGACTCTATTTAGTGTCCGCGTGTTGGTGCCAGCTTCAGCCTAGCGCTATTTTCCTAGTTATCAATTATGCGACGGCTTAGCGCGTTATTTCGATTGTGTTCAAGTTTTGAGTTATCACCTATCGGTTCAGCGTCTCGACTTCCAAGCTTTCAAGCGAATAGATGTACCCAACCACTTCTGTGCTCCGGTGTTAGACCTTGGCCTGTCCACTTCTTCTCTGATGGAGTTTCGGAGGATTCCTCAACTAGTCAGTTTGCAATGAATTTAACCATTTTAATTTAAAATGTACAACAAAGATTTCATTCTGCATTCCAGCAGTGGGTGATCCGCTTCCCTTGTTTTTGCAACCTGAGATGCAGATTCTCTTGAAGCGGTTGACTGGACTCGATCTGGAGAAAGTCTTTGCTGCCCAGAAAAATGAGAGGCGACGAAAACCACCCACGTATTCGTTTATGACCAAAGCACAATATGAGCAAGTATGATAGACCCACCTTTCCCTAATTTAATATTACCCTGGCCAAGTCCAGGAAGGCATTAAGCAATAGAGATTTTCTTTTGGGTTGCTTTTCCTTGCATAGCTTTCAAGGTACAACATATTTTTAAGTGATTCTCTTGCCTTCACCTCCATTCTCCACTGTGTTCAATGACCACTTACATCACTACCAAAGTCATGTAGGGATAAGTGCAAGCTGACAACCCACTTTTTGAGAGAATAAGTCTTTCTATAATTGATCCAACTATTAGCAATGTGCTGGTGACATCAACTTGGAAATATAAAAATAATGATTTTATATCATTGCTGTTCTGTTTAAGTGAAGCTAAATTTGATGTGAAAAGTTGCATTTTGTTTAGTTGGTGTCTAATAAGTTACAAAATTTCAAGTATGAAGTGTCATTCCTATTTTAGTCAAGTAAAACTGAGGTGGAAGCAGGCTAGGAAAACCCTTGTGAACCTGTGAACAAGGTTCACAGGCACAGAGACGCATGGGCAGGCAGCCTGCTTGCATATCCCCCTGGAAAATTCCAATTTGTCACCTCAGGTTTGTGGGGAAAAAAATTTTTTTTCCTACACTGGATGGAAGTGTCTAATATTTACTTTGAGGAGTATTGTTTTTCCTCAGTTTTGGGAACTTTATATATACCAGGCAGAAACTGATACTAAACTGACATTGTAAGAGAAACTATGCAAAACAAACTGCAAAAAAGTGAAAGAGTATGCTGATTAATATATAGGCTAGGGTTGATGCCATTAAATGATGCAGTATCACATTTGTGTACTTGCAGCTTTTGGCACAGTATTTGAAGGATGGCCAGAAGTTCCTGCAAATGCCACCTGTGATGAGAGCCAGGAAGGAAATCAATGAAGTGGTTTCTGTGGACCCTGAACTCAAGGGATATCTGAAGGGGAAATTTGTCCTAACAGATATTACCTATGGAATTTCAGATCGAGTAAGCTTGAATCCTTAGTATTTTAGTAAATCTTAACAACTGAAACTTTATCTCTGCCAGTAGCATAGCCAGAATTTTTGCCGATGGGGGGCTTACATCTCCTCACTGGGAAGGGGGGTGGGGTGGTGGATTCATTTAGACAGGAGTTGGGGGGGCTTGAACCAAACTTGGGGGCTGAAGCCCCCCCCCAGCCCCCCCTTGCTATGCCACTGATCTCTGCTTCCACTGGAGCTATTTTCAGTAAACTTCCTTTGAACATATATAGTTAAGTATTCAACAGTTCACACACTTTCATCTATAATAATTTCTTCAAAGTTCATTAAGATTTTTCATGGTTTAAATCATATAATGAAGTAGGCAAGTGTAGTCACTTCAAAAAGATTGGAGTCCCCATCTATATTCAAAATTCTGATTTATTTCATCCTTGGTTGTTGATCTTTTTTTTTTTGCCCTACCCTGTATACATGGAATCAGAAATAATTCAGTTATCTGCTTATGGAATATGGAGGGAAAAAAAGACCAATAACTTTCAAACTACACATTTCTGCTCTCAATGGAACTATTTTCGTGTGCAAAGATTTATATGCTCCTTGCAGGCCTTTTAACTATGATCCAATTTGGTTTTACCAAACCAAAACTTTGACCAAGTTATCAAAATAAGTTGAAAGTTAAAAGTGAATGGGGACTCCTGTCTATTTGGAGTGACAAGACTTAGTCATGTTCTCCAACATAAATAAAGGTAAAACATTGTCACTGTACAGAGCACGTTCAAGACTATTCCAAAGTACCTGTGAATTACCTTTATGGGAATCCATAATAAAGAATTCTATACTAGCTGGATCCTGCCTAGGCTCTTCACATTATTCTCTGAAAATTGTCTAATTTTGTCACTGGCATGTGTGTTTCCACTGTACATCTCTTAGAATTGAATGAAATTTCTCCAGAAATATTAACCAAGTGAACCAGTGGTAGGTAGCACAATCAGTGAAATTCAGTGTCAAAATACAGAATAGTACTATCAGGATGATTAAGTCATTCTGAAATCAAAAAGGTCCACAAGTATCATTCAGTGAGTTGAATGAATTTCCACACTGCAAGACAGGGCCGTATCTAGGATTTCATTTTGGGGGGGGGATGAGGTCTGGTGTACGCACTGTATGTATTTTCTTTTATACTTGTCATTGTAAGTCTTTTTGACATATCTGGATTTTCCTGTAAGTTGCAGTGTTTAATAAGTCAAAAGCTATTAAAGATAGAAAAGACCAAGTACTGCACCATTTGTACCAACGAATAGCAGTATGGCAAGAATTTAAGGAAGATATTTCGGGGGGGGTTTGAACCCCATGAACCCCCCCCCCCTCCCCCCTAAATATGGCCCTGCTGCAAGACATGGCCTTGTATGTTTGTTGTATTTGGATTGATATGAATGTTTTTCAGGATTTTCCTCTAGAAACAGTCTTGATATAGGAATTTGAATGGGTGGATCTGGACATTGACTCACTTTTCCTAACATGTTTTATGCAGTTTATTAATATACAGGGTGGCCCCATAAAAAGGGCACTCTTTTCAATGTGCATTTTAGGTGTGATGCTGTCAAGGATATATTTTTTGGTTACATATAATGGAAAGAAGGAAGACTCAGCTAAAAAATGCTTTTTTTTTCAGACTTTTAAATATTTTAAAGGATAACTTAGAAAAAAATGTTTGAATTTCGGTTACAAAAAATCAGTGTTGCTCTCACCAACCACATATAGCAACAGGCACATCCAATCATCCTTGCAACATCTGCTGAAGTCAGCATTTCCCTTCCCCTCCTCATGAATGTCAGGATGTCAAGTCAAGTTGATGAGTGCATCGCCGATTTTTTAGCAACCAAAATTCAATAATTTTTTTAGCAAATTTAAAGTCTGAAAAAAGCACTTCGTAGCTAAGCCTCTCTTCTTTCCATTACATGTATCAGGAACAAATATCCTTGATAGCATCACACCTAAAATGTACATTGAAAAGAGTGACTTTTTTTTGGGCCACCCTGAATAATCCAGTACTAAGGGGCACCATAGAGAAGGCATTGCTCACTCCATGATTAAGAATTAAAGAATTTAGGGTGCATTAAATTCTTTATGGCTGATGAATGCTTGAAACCCTGATTCCAAGGGGATAGTTCTGAATAAGGTATGATTCATTGGAAAATTACACTATTCTATTCTAAGGCAATCTTGTTTCTTCTTTTTATTTCAATGGTTGTGGGCAATTGCCAGTGTTGTTTGATCCCTGCATTCAGGAACTTTCAGCTGGTAGCATATTTTGCTCCTGATTCTAAAGCAACCCCTGAAATTTAACATTGAAAAAAAGAGAAGAAAAATAATCATCTTAGTATTGAATAATACAGTATGTCCTTTATCTTGTTGCAATTTTCTACCACTTGAGAGGTTTCTGCTATGCATCTCAATTTCTGGTTTGAATTGGGGCACAATTCTGCTCTAGAGAAGAATGATCATGGTGCGGGAGCCAGATGGCACTCTGAGAAAGGCAAGGTGGCAAGAAAGGGAAAGGATGAACCAAATCTACTTTCCTAAGCCACACCGATGGCCTCGCATGCCAAGGATGTTTGAAGATGAAAATCTCAAGGTACTCTTCCTGCAACTAATGCTGAACACTGAGGCCTATTTATTTCCATCTATATTGCTGTCTATTTTGAGAGACTCTCTCATTCCAACCTTGTTAATCAGGCAGCTTTGGAGAATGAAAAGTACCTTTTCATCCTGGATCGTGTATGCCACCAATTTGAACCAGATGATCCAGACTATATTAGAGTGGTGGAAACCACCTATGAGCATGTCAATGCCAATGGAAAGTTTGAGGTGCTTCATTCCACACGGCATTTTGGCCCTTTTGTCTTCTACTTGGCTCGTATCAAGAGGATAGATGACCTCCTCATCCACTACCTTGAAATTAGAGAGTATGCAGTTTTTTATATTATTTTCAGTGATGTATATGATTGATGTTTTCAAAGTACATCCATGTGTCTCTTCTGGCAGGCTGAGCAATGCAGTTGATCTCATTAAGGTGTACCACATGATACATCCTCATTGCATTTCTGTTGCAGCACAGGCTGATCCACAACAGCCCCTACAGTTCATTCAGGTAAGAGCTTTCACTATGAAAGGACCTTCTTCATAATGACAAGAATAAATAAAACTATTTTTCTAGCATACTTTCAATGGTAATCAAAGTTCCAATAAGAAATGTCTACATGCAGCCAAGTCTGCTCTTTGATGTGTTTGATTGACAAAAATCCAGTTGTGATGTGGCAGTTCAAGACATGGAGGAAAACACATTAGTTTCTGGTAATGTCAGGCCACGCCATACTGAGGGAGGCTGAAAGTAGCGCACCTGCACAGGGCACAGATTGTCTGCCAAATCACTACAAAATATGAATAAAACTTTAAAATTTCAAATTATCCTGAACTAACTAAATTAAACATAGAAATTAATATGCAATGTATTGTTGGTATTGGGGAAACTAGAGAGGTATAGAGGGGAGGTGCTAGGTTGATGTCTCACACAGGGTGCCAAATATCCTCAGTATGGTGCTGCTCTCAGGACATGAACAGCTCATATCACTTGAATTTTTTGTAAACCTGAAGTGACTGAAGATCAATACAGACAAAACTGTTTTTTTTTTTTAAATGTATTTTGCATCAGGTTCCACCTCTCACCCTTAATGGTCTAAATTTGAAAAGTCAATGCATACAGGGTGGTCCAGAAGTGGGTTTCTATGGTTGGCCTGGGAAAGATTTGATGCAGTTTTCAATGTGGTGGGTGGGTCAACTGTGACCAATGGTATTTCCCAGATTCAGCTCCAGTGGACTCCTGGAGATTTATCAAAGATTGTATTTTGACAAGGCCCATGAACTTTGCACTAGCTGGAGAAGTTCCTTGAAATTGAGTCACAGCAGTCATTAGGAACAATGTGTTGAGGTGAAGGAGCATCGTTTTTAGCATTTATGCTGTACCTCATATTCCTCCATGTTAACCTACTTCTGGGCCACCATATATATGTTGCTTTTGTCAGGAATGAATCCTTTAAAGTGAAATATAGTCTGACAAAAAGCACTATATTGACAGACCTAAGGGTCTTTTCAGAGACTGCAAACTGTCAATGAAGATTCAGGGCTGAAAGTGTAAAAGGAATTTTCAAAAAACTATCAAGGTCTCAATTAGCATATGTAAATCCACTTGTGAAGGTCAAGAGTAAAACTCATTACTTTAAGTGCCTTTGGGATATTAATCTTGGAAATTCTACTTGATATCAAAGAGAAAAGTTTTGTTACAAAGAAAGGGTCACATTCTGTAGAAAGAGAGCAAAGCTCACAACAGTGACTGCTGTAGTCAAGGTCATACTTTTTTCTTCTTCCAATGCTTCCTTGGTTTTACTTTTTATGAGCACTGAGCCTGTCTGTTTGAGCTTGATTCAGTGATTCCTAACAGAAGCTAGAATCCAAAGTCTGCTCTGGAAGTTTTAAGTTTTTGTTGAAATACTTTTGTGAGGTATGCATCATGGAACTTCTTTTGCAATTTCCTCCCTGGACAAAGTGCTTTTTTGTGATTAAAGTTGCAAACCTCCAGCTGACTTGTGTCATGCTTCTTCAAGCCATCCCTACCAGGAAACTTGCATGCACTGTAATGAATTTCTTCAGCAGACTTTCCAGTTTCCTTGCTATTGTGCTAGAAAATAAGTATTACCCGACTCTTGCCTGTCAGTAGTTGTGTATTTATATGCTGATCTTCCTAATCCTACTTGGTTTTTCTGTATACCATTTCAGAAATACATCACAGAAGCAGCGCTGAAGGCAGGTCAATTGCAGCTTGCCCTGCAGAGTCTCATTTCTCAGGAACAGCATAATCAAGAGGAATCTACTGTCTCTTCATGATATTCAATAAATTTTCCTTATGGCAAGTATAGCAGTAATTGCTGAATTGAGTTGATGGTGCTGATTTGAGTCATTTCAATGAAGTAGTCTTGATGCATGTGAAGGTTCATTGCAGCATGTATGAATATGTTCAGAAAGAAAAGAGTCCCAGTCTGAGGTGGCAAATAGTATTATTTTTCCCATCTAGAACCTCAACTTAGTGAAGAACCACCTGGTCTTCCCTGTCTTGTACCTGAAAAATGAAAAACCATAGCAAAATAAATTTCCAAAGCAAACACCCACAGAAAAGCTTATTGGGATTGATAAACATACACCAAATGGTAAATAAAACGCATCTCACCTTTCCTCCAAGACTTGTTTGACGGCAAACCTTGCTTTCCTCCTCTTGACAGGATCCTTCAAGGCTTCCTTGTTGACCACATTCTTTTCAAAGTTGATGTCAGCAGAGTATCGAGTGGGCATAAGATGCGTATAATTCACCACCTGTGAAAAGTTAGTGTAAAAGTGAAAATAGTAGAAAATACACATGTTACACTAAATGACAATTTAATGGCATAAAATCCAAAAATTTAAGTCCAATTTACTCCATACATTATCAAAATAACAAAAGCCTGCATAGGCCTCTAACACCATGCCAAAACTGGTCTGTAAATGAACAATATTTGCAGTCCAGGTTATTAGAGTAGTTAAGGTTGGGTCAAAAGCGAAGCCCTGAATAATGGCAATTCTAGCCCTAGGGCAAATAACACCAATGGTATACACCTGCCCCAACTGCTCCATTCTCGCTCTTTGTTTTCCTCTGATGTTATATTATTTGAAGCATAATGTCCACATTTAGTAACCAATCACTCATTTTAAAAATATCCCTTAAATTGCAGAAGGGAGTGCATTGGAAGGAAAAGCAGAGGATTCCGTACTGAAAAGTTCGAGGGGGATGCAACTGTAGTGAGAATATATTCTTATTTACAGAAATGGTTAAAATGGGTCACTTGCAGCTTTGAAATGGCAATGAAAATGTGTTCATTCTCAGACTTCATCGTTCTGTGTTGCTGTATCCCCAAATTGGAGGAAGGGAGCTTGCTTGTCATGGTCATGGCAAATCACATGATTTTCATCATGAACACCATGAGGATATTTCTTCACAACTTTAACAAAATACTTCTATTTCTTCCTTGCTTTCTTGTCCTTCCTGAGCAACTCAGAATTTATAAAGAGAATCCAGATGAACAGCCACGTTCTTACAAATATTCGGGATACTCGATGGTTGACTTGGATTCAGATTGGATCATCTCAGCGAAAGATGACAATCAACCCCAAAGGATTGTTTTGGGATCCCTCCCTTAGTCCACTTCAGGAATTCCATTTTCTGCTGCATCACTTAGGTCTTTCCCAACCCAGGTTCCTTCAAAACAATTACTTCTCTCTGTCGGCTCCAAAATCATCAGATGTTCTTGCAGGCAGCAACTACACATCAAATCAGCATCTGTGAATGCTATTAACACTGGCAGCACCACATTCTAGAGATGCAATCTTTCAAGCACAATAAAATGGAGGCACAAGGTAACATTGGAAAAAAAAAACAAAAACCCAGACGACATTTTTAACAAAGGAGAAATAGCCAAGAAAAATGAGATTTTATCAGTCAGCTGAAGAGAGTATATACCAGACACCATTGGCTCTCTCTCCCCACCCCCTGCTGGGATGTAGCCTAACCTTTTCTATTCTTCTAACCTGGACTTGCAGTGACAGATTGCTCTATTCAGGGAGTAGCTGCTGTACAGCCTTAATATTAAATGCAGTACTTTACCCACTGTTACTCCTCAAATAGGACATCAGCATTATGTAAAACAAGTGCTTCTCTCACATTTCAAGATGTCTGTTGAGGTCAATAAGACAATTATTTTGTTTCAACTTCCTTATATTTGTAAGACAGAGGTAAAAATAGAAGGAAATACAGAAAACAGATTTACTGAGGCATTGGCTTCAGGTTACTTATGGAATGGAGGCTAATAAGTTACTTCTCTGGTCCTAAATCAAAGAGGCATGCTCTGCTGAAAGAGGCAGAAGCATTTCAGAAGACATTTTGTGGCAGAGCTCTCAACAAAAGGCTCTTCTGTTCCTGGAGATGGTAGAGCCAGGAGAGTCCTGGTGTTGCCCATGGAGAACATGCAGATGAGAGCAAACACATGCCAAGTCTTTTCCAGCTTACATCCATGTCTAGCAGTACAAGGAAATGATTGACTGCCACATGCAGGAGATCCTAATTCAAGATTCACTCCTTTTGTACCTGCTCTCCTATTACATATGCCCATGTGTATTGCTGAGGAGAGCTACAATGAAGAGCAGAGAAATACACACTTTGGTCTGTTAATGCAACATGGCATTAGCATACTGTTGAATCCAATGGTACATTAAAAGTTTAAAATAATTATATGCACCTTCAGTATTATACAGGCAAAACAGGTATTTGCCTTTGGAACAAGACCTCAGCAACCTGTGTTAGTCCCAGTGCTACCATGCTACTGCTCTGCAGACACAAACAATTGTTGAGGAGTGTGAAGATCATACAAAGAGATGTACAACATCTACATCCCAGCTGATACAGGAGTTTGACTAATAATGCCAGCCAAGCAGCAAATGCCAGGGTGCAACACAAAACAACAGGTATTAACGTTACCTTGATAAAGGGCTTGATCTTGGAGCGCTTGGAAATTTTCTTCTTAGACATGCGTCTTGTAACTTTCTTGGGATACCTATCAATCCCAGCCACCAACGCATGACCATACTGACGATCAGAGCTCCCTTCATCATTGTTCTTCACAATGATGGCCTTCCGCCCTGCATAACGTCCACCTAGGAGCAACACCACCTTCCCTGGCTTCATAATCTTCCCCATTTCCACCACTATATTTTGGACCTAGAATTCATAATAAAGAAATATAAAGGTAAAATAATCTGGCTAAAAGCATCACTGTTATTATATAATATCATAGCCTGATTTACCCTAGAATTACCGTAACTTTCATAGACTGATGGTGTCTTTTAAAAATGTATCCAATATATTTACACTAAGCAATTTCCAAAAAAATTTAATTTCAGCATGAGGCAATTATTACACTTCACTGAGTGTTTAGGGGTGAAGCCTTAGACGCCTGCATTACACTAGGCCTCACATGGACCCAACATTAACACAGGGTTTGACAAGTGCCATTTGAAAGATATAATCCATAACAGACTAGAAAGGTTGACCAAGTTGGACAAAAGTGGCATCAAGCATCCATGCAGGGACATGGTCATCTGAAGCTAGTATATTCAAAGTAAAGGCATAAGTCTATTATTACAATGCTGCTCAACAAAATATAACACTAAGCAGAAGGTCTGCTTTTGTGGAATTTGTAATATTCTATTTATTAGCAGGTAGCAGATGTTGATCCGAGTTCAGTTTAGTTCCAAAAGGAAAATGATTTTTCAGTAGGTGTCCTCTTTCATTCTTGAAGAACACAAATGGAGGCTAGGTCAATTTGCCTGGCAAGAGATGAACATGATGCACTTCAAAAGCAAAGTATTTGTATCAAGTTTTTTCATCATTCACCTACTCCACTCTGAGATGTCACTAAGCTTTACTTATTTAATGTTGACTTCTTACATTTTCTCTTAGTATGTTGTAATCACAATTTCATCCTATGCAAAGAAAATCGATACTTACGCAAATGCTCTTATTTAGACGTTGCTGCTACAACCTTTTCTACAACTTCCATCCTGCCATGACACTCCTTCGTTCAATGACCTCTTGAGCTTAGCTTCGCACTTGCTATCGCCTGGAATGCCAGTTTAGGCTAATTCTTCGCTGCCGTATCGAAACAATATCCCAATTTAGAAGCCCACTAACCTTCCCTAACATTATCCCATTACTGGTAAAAGATCTAATCCACGGCTGGGTCAGGTCTGCCCATGCATACAATTAAGCTCTATTGGGCATGACCATGCTCATGCTAGTCGAAAGAAATCGGTTTATGCTGTCGTTCACTCGACTAAATAAGGTGAACATTTTTCAGATATCGTTGCTCACATCTTAGAGGATTTAATTTAAGTCCTATAAAAAGATATGATCGGAAAACGGAATGACAAACCTTTGGACGGTTCCGAGGCAACCGGAGTCGGTCACTGGGCTCGACTCTCGATTGAGAAAAGGAAGAGCGCTCCTAGGGCGTCTTCGAACTATGGATGCGAACTAGTCATGGACACAAATTCCGGTCCATAATAATGATAATTAGTTACTAGATGTAGACAATATCTGAGCAAACCGAAGTGAAAAAATTAGATTTCAAATTATGTAGTATATTTTACTCATCCATAGACCCATTCGCACATGTCCACACAAGCTTACACCTCATCTTTCCTCAGTGCCGGAAAGTACTTTTTTTTCCTAACTCTGGAATTTGAAGGCCATATCCATTTCACAACGGTTACAATTTTTTAAATACTTTTTTAATTTCCTTCGGGGGTGTTCAAAAGAAAAGCACAAAGCTGTTGACAGACACATCCAGTTCCTGTGGCAAGCAACAAAGAGCTGTTTTTTTAGTCTTATTTTGAGTGTCTCAGAAATGGCTTTGGTTCGTTCCTCTGTGCGACCAGTTCTTGGCCTACCACTTCCAGCATTAAGGACTTCATCAATGGTATCAAAACATCAATCCAATTGCCGCAGTGGCTTTCCGTTCTGGGGTGCAACGCTCAAAACTTTTCTGAAATTGCCGCCGGTCTTCTTTAAAATTTTATTACTTCGCGTACCATTTCACTATTTGTACCATTTCTTCAATGCTAGGTCGAGATCTCCCAGCCATCTTTTCTAAAGTCACTTTACCATTTCACTAGAATACGCACACCAAAAATCATCACTACGTGAATTTGATCAGGAGCTATACGCTGACGAACAGTGGGTACCCTGCAAACAATTTGAAACACATAGCGTTGATATAACGTTGGTTCAACGTAGCCTTGTTTGCTGGGTAGTTTCTTTTGGAACACCCTGTATCAGGGCCGGATTAAGGGGGGGGGTTGAGGTCTGGCGTATTCGCTGTGGCTATTTTTTTAATACTTGTCATTGTAAGTCTTTGTGACATATCTGGATTTTCCTGTAAGTT